AGCCGCAGTGGCTCTGATTAGCGGTGCTGTGGCTCGTTCTATAGCTCCTGATTTCTACTGAAAATGTTTCTGCTGATTTCCAGCAGGGCACTGACCTCTCTTAATGCTTTTCCATCCTTCTTAAGTCTCACAATTAGATTTTTTAAAATTCCTCTGGCAGTTCTTTTCAAAGTAGAGGAATAATGCAGACATGCACCGCTTACAGAAAGATCTAGTAGAAGTACTCATGGGCAGGTATTGTGAGGTATTATCTTAATTAACGGCAATTTGAATGGCCAAAAGAAAAAACCCTGCATACTTCAAATCACTAATAAAATCTGATAACAACTTTTGCCCAAACGGGAGGATTTAAAGGTTTTAAAGGACTTTGTTTTCCCCTGAAGATGATGTTTTCCACCATGTTTGCTGCGAGCGAATCCTGCCGTGACTCAGGATCCTCTGTCTCTCTCTCACAGAAATTAGCAAAAGTTCTGGTCACAGGACGGTTTTGCTGTCCACTTTGGTATTTGTATGGTCTGTTTTTTTCATTGCATTACATTAACACTGCACACTAACTCCAGGTATATGCTGTGCACCAAAGGTGTGGATTTCAAGGTGGGTGCAGGAGTATCTAAACTCATGCAATCATTCTCCGCGCCCTCAATAAAATGATGAAAGAGGCAGAGGACTTATTTAGGAAGAACTGCTTTAATGATTTTACTCTGAAAGGAATGTCTCGACAGCAGAGGGTCTTTTTAATGCATAAAATATTCATATAAATTACAAAATGTCAGCTGCATAATGCGACTCTCCCATTTCAGCACATCCTAACGGAGTTCTATTGAACTGAGATCTGTGGAGACGGTCTGAGTGCAGTGAACTCCCTGTGATGTTCCAGAAACTAGATTGAGATGATCTGAGCTTTGTGAAATGATGCATTATCCTATTGGAAGCAGGTATTAGAAGACGGGTACCGTGGCCATAAAAGGATGGACATGATCAACAACAATACTCTAAACTTTAAATAATGCCCACAGGGTGCTAAAGGGCCCAAAGCGTGCCAGGTAAATATCCCCCATATGATTACACCACCAGCAGCAGCCTGGCGTTTTACTGCAAAACAGGATAAGAGGCATGCTTTCATGGTGTTTACGCTAAATCTGAGTGTTGCAAGAGACATTAAGACTTCTGATGTCAGTTTGGAAGATGTGTGAACTGCATCCTCAGTTTCCTGTTCCAGCTGAGGGGAGTGGCACCCAGTGTGGTCCTCTGCTGCTGTAGCCCATCGGCTTCACGGCTTGACATTTGCACTCAGAGATGCTCTTATTCATACCTTGGTTATAACAAATAGTTCTTTGAGTTATTGGTGCTTTCCAATAAGCTTGGTTTGGTCCATGTCATCTGGAATTTCCAGAGACTGTGCACCTAGAGGACTGCTGCTTATTGGACAGTCTTAAAATACTTGACCTCTGACCCGGAGGTTCAGGCCACTGAGATTTGAACTCACGGTGACGACAATATCATGAGCCTTTTATGGCTAGTTGCTGTGTCCAATCTTTGTTTTTACTCACCCTCTGAAAGATATTAAGGCTTTTAAGGTATGTTTCCTAAAGAAAAACCTAAAATCACACATTTGTGACGTGTGAATGTTGCAGAGAGCTGAACACAAATCAGAATTCTTGCAAGCGTATATAGGCAGGTTATGTCCCCATATATAACAACACTAGTTTGATATCTGACAGAATGATAACACTGACTCTCGTGTCTTGATCAGGCAAATAGGAGAGTAAATCACGCCTGTGTTCACGTGCGATCACGTTACATGAGAAAAGTCGAGAATAT